TCCCATCTTTTAGTTCTAAATTTTATTATAATGTCATTTGTATTGGAAACCCCAAAAGCAGACTGTAGAAATGTAGGAATCGATTTTTTTATAATCGGCCAGTTAGATAAAGACAGTCAGCCAAAATGTTTACTGTGAAAAATAGGAATGTTTTGTTTTTTGCTTTATGCGAAACATTTTTTGCAGACAGTTTTGGGCCTGCAGTCAGTTTAAAAAAGTTACAACGCCCCTTAACCCTTATTAATTTTAAATCATTCTAATAATGCTCGTCAATACCACAGTGCAACATGAAAAATGTAACCGCAATTCTGATTTCATGGGCGGAAAGAACTCATCGAAATAAGCTAAAACCCATTTCGGTTTTTCTGGCTTAGCTCGCGTTTACCTTTTATAGCGAGTTAAAGTTTTACATACAAAATTTATTTGTAACGGCCATATCTTGTGAACCGATTAAAATTTCACTATCAAGTCTTCAGTGATTATGTAGCTATGAACCAAAGGAACTAAATTGACAAATGACTCTTGCGCACTTAGCACCTAGTGCACCTAGCGCGTTAAAAACAAATTTGCCTAATTTTTTGATTTTTAACGCGCTACGTGTCGTCTTCACAGAGTCATTTGTCATAGTTCTTGGGTTCTAGCATAATCACTGAGTTTGATAGTGGTTTTAATCGGTTCAGATATGGCCGTTAAAATTTTGTATGTAAATTAACTCGCTATAATAGGTAAACGCTAAGCCAGAAACCAAATGGGTTTTAGTTATTTCGATGAGTTCTTCCGCCCATGATCGAATTTTTTTATAACCTAAAATGTTGCACAGTATACTTGTTATTATTAAATAAAAATTAAAACGACAGCTCCTTAAAATTCTAAATTTATACCTAATTTAATTTACTTAAAGTGGACTGCTGTCTTTTTATATTACAAATTTTAATTTAGTTGTCACAACACATTGGTTTTTATTGAACATTTTTGTAACTTACGTTACATTAGATTACAATTTGTGTGTGGGAAGCTTTTTGATATCGTAGTGGCCGTGAATGTTTTCAGTAACTGGGGAATAAATCAGTTTCCCGATCCATTCACAACTAAAAGCTTGGGTTTTTACTTGAAGAGCGACTTGAATCAAACTTAAGCGCAAGTATTTTTACGATCGAACAGTTCAGTTCTTCGATTCGTTGCAGTCAAACGTGTTTGCCTTATCTACACAATGTCGTATCCCCACGATAATAATGAATCGTTACACAAAGAGTTTCCAGTACGCTTCTACCGAAATATCATAGTTGTATTCGCTCTCGCGTGGATTCTCTTCTGGTGTTGTTGGAAATATTGCTGTAACTGTTGTAAGAAAGGTATGAAGTACTCAAGGGACTCTTTAATCTAATCTGTTGATGGGGAAAAGTTTCTCATTTTTGCAACTGGAACAACTGGATCTCTTAGTTAGTTGTTGACGCTTGCAGTGTAAACATGAATTTTCTTTATGTGAACGTGCCAGAATCAAGTTCTAATGAATTAGACATCGGTCTGATCATAGTGTTTGTTGTTTTTATCATTCTGCTTTGTGTTAGGACTCTTTGTATATGTCAAAAATTAAAGAAAGGACACAAAATAAGGGATATAAGTGGTTAGTACATTTTTAATTTAAAGACATCAAGAAATTATATATTATATGTCATAATTATTGAACTTCCTTGGAAAATTGGAAATACTCAATTGAAACAATTGTATTACCATCTATCTTCTTTAGCTTAGTTTCTGTAGATATTCTTGTGAATCTTGAAAATGTAAAGGGTTATTGTTAGCCAGTTTTATTATTGGTTAGTCATGCATTTCTGTGACTATTTTAAGAAAATTATCTTTAATACATCTGAGACTATTATAAAAAAATAATCTCTAAAAAAACTCTGATTCTGACAACCGGAAAAAGCTTAATCTCATGAGAAATACAACCTCATTCATTATCTTTTCCTATTTCGAAAAGCTTCCTGAGACATCCATAAGAATATCTTCATTCATAATTCCTCATTCAGTCGAGTAGAATATTTGAACGAAGTGATGTTCATCATTAAGATAGTTCCTGCCATTCTACTTGTTATTTTTCCAATAGTTTTATTAATTAGTGTCGCCTTATGTTTTCGATGTTGCTATAATAAACAGAAGAAGATTCAGAAGAAACCCTGTAAGTTAGTCAATGTTAACCCTTAAAATCTATTAAATAGCAGGAAAAATTGTATTTAGTCATATTAATCTGGGACTATCCACAAGTAAATCCGAGTTGAGTCACAGATTACATATTTGCGTAATTGCCACGGGTAATTCTGGTCGGGAAAAGCTTGCCCACAAGATAACGATAACTGCATCTAATATTCTTAGGAACTTGTTTTTTTTTATTAAGCTCCAGATGACGTCATGCAAAGCTTCTGTATTCGATTTCAAAACTCGATCTTGTAAATTGATAATTATACGATTATGGGTATTGCCCACTATATAATGTGAGTGCTTCCTATCTGCAAAGCAGATTTAATTTATGGGTGAAATTTTCAAGTCATTGCCCAAAAGAAGTATAAGATTGTATGTGACGACGTGCTTTAAGTTATCAACCAGACCTGAAGTCTTGTATATGGGCCTTTAAGTAGTCATAATCTCAAGAGTTGTAAAATAAAACGTGCAGTAACAGAAATTGATTTATTTTCCCTTTTAAAATCCTATAATTATAATTACCCGATATTAGAATTGGAAAATTTTCTTAAAACCACTTAGACCTTACTTCTTATCCAAAGTCTTGAGTTGTAAAGCTTTAAGTGGTAGAGAACCCCTATGGTGAAATAGTCCAGTTATCTTGATATAATTAGATTTAGGACTTGTTGTGAAGTGGGTAATGACTGGTGGTTTTTATTATGTTTGTGCAATATATACTGATAAAACTGACTGTGATTCTCTGCTATTTCGATCACATTTGCTAATGTGTGTCAAAATGGTATGTTTACTCCTAAATGCATATCAATAATTAGATATTAGTGGATAATGGCCTCATAAAAGGTTTATGTGTTGACGTAGATCCCGAATTGCTGGGTCATTCAGAAAATGATTATGGAACCCATTTAGTTAGGTCCCAGGCTTTCGTCATGAACGCCACCATTTTGGATGTGTTTGAGGATAGTTCCCAGCGACTTCATTTTATTTGGACATTTCTGGCATTCGAAGCGAAGATCCTAACAGTTCTGGTTGCCTTGGTTGTGATATATGCATTAATTATTGCCCGAGACTTGCAAGATTTTGTTTTTCTAAACCATTAGACAAAGATAATTGCGCTATGAATAACGAATCCTATGTCAGTCACCTAATGGAAACCCAGCAAAGTTATGTAGGCTACATAGCCGCTGTTCGCATAACCTTCAAAGTATTCATCTTGATGTTGGTCGGTTTGGTTGCACTATATTGGAAGCGTCGTCAGGCTATCGGCGGTTTAAGTAAGTTATGATAATGGTCGAAAGTGCTGTTATCGCTGATAAGTGCTATCTTTATGAGTGCGATTGCCCTTTTCTTTGGGCATTACGAGCACTTTTTCGATTGCCGATCCGGCGGCTTTAGTTCTTCGCTCTTGTTTAGTCTTTGTGCGCCGCTTATTCAGTCAGTATCAAAATCATGGATGATTCGGGCATCTACTGGATACTTTTCTTCACCCTCTCCGTGTTCTTCATGACATCCGCGGCGGTATTTTTGACCCGTGGACGAACGCAAAGAGCGGCACTTACGAAGGGTGCAGGTGTGTTTTTTCGGGGATCTCCCTTTTGCGGCGATAACGCTGCCAATGGGTTTCCAATAGCCTGTCACTTACAAATAGCCAAAATATCACAATCAGTTGAAATCGTGAATTCACTGGTGTAGCACCTGTTAGCTTCGAATAAAATAATATTCGCGATGGAGCCGTATATTATCCCCATCATTGCAGTCTCAGTCTTCTTAGTTATTTCCTCACTAATGTGCTTGTGTTTCTGTTGCATAGTCAAGAAGTTCCGATCCATGGGTAAATCAATAACTAAGGAAAAGTGTTTGGCTTTATGTAACTTTGAAGCTATTGTGTATTGCCAATATAAGTGATAAACAAACCAGAATGAGAGTTCGTAAAAACATGTGTGTTATTTGCCCATGTCACCCACCCGCTTATCGTATTGGCCATATAATCGGCCATTGATTAGACATGGGCCGAATGAGTGGGTCCGTCAGATGAGAGCTTTGCAGTCTGTTTCGTGTTCGTCTGGAAGGCGATTGTGTTTTTTCAAGTTAAACCGAAAATCATCGAAAATGTGGGAGTTCTGGGTCGGATTATCTATAGCTTTCACCATTTTTTTCATTACTTCAATTGTGGTTTGCATAAGACGCAAGCAGAAGGCAGCGCGAAATGTTGGCTACACAATCAGCGAGGGTGCTGGTAATTACATAGACTGAACAATGAAAAAATTGGCAAAACGACCACACTTCCAAAAAAAAACCAAGTTTATTTGTCTTAAGAGTTTTTTTATTGTTTTTATTCGAATGATTACATTTTTATGTCTAAATAAAAAATAGTTTTGTTATTAACTGTTGTTATAAATATAGCTTTCGATCATGTTGATAAGATAACAATTATTGTATAGGACAAATACGAAAAGTTCACTAAAAAACAAACCAATTGCACAACAAATTAAAATAAAAGAGCTTTGTTACATTTTATTTTAACAATGAAATTAATTAGCACCTTTTTAATTGAGCAAGAAAAGATATTAAATTGTTCCAAAGTTGAAAATAACAATTTTATTTTAAGTTTATATGAAAATGTTTAAATTTGAAATTTGTTTTAGTGTTGAAGCGTACTGAATGGGGTTTTTTCTTTCATATTGAGTTTAATCAAAAATGGAAGCTTATCGGATCTGCGATTCGAGTGGTCTGCGATGAGTCAGAATTATTGGCCCAGCTCTTTTCCGTTTCTAATTTTCCTTTTCTGCTTTAACTCTTTGCAGCGCCCGTGGTGGTGACCTCCGCCACGCACACGGCTCCCGGAGGATATCCGGTCACACAGCTGCCTCCGCCGGGCTATCCGGCGGGCAATGCCTACGTAGCTCCCGTCTCGTATCCCGCCCAGACCACCGGGTAAGTACGGATTTAAAATGGGCCCGGAAACTATTCCAACCTCTCCCGTTCTCCCCACAGCAATGTGACCGTGCAGATGCCCATGCCGATGACCCACCAGCAAATGCCGATGCCGATGCCCGGGTAAGTGCAACCGAAAGCTCCTGCAAAATGCAAATGCAAATAATAATTAATATCCTCCGCACAGCAGCATGCAGACGCATGGCGTGGCCTATCCTCCGTATCCTGGCGCCGGGGCTGCCAGTATGAATCCCCCGCCGTACGACATGGCCATGGCTAATCCGGGACCCAGTGTCATGCCCTCCGGCTATGAGAAGCAGGCTCCGTACAATCCCAACTTTGGCCAGTGATTGCCCATGGCGAACTGAACGCGAAACTTATTCTGAGGAGCTCCTTTCCCGCCTCGACATAGCTTTTATACTCTCTGCCGAACATATTCGTTTCTATTCCCCCTTCTATGTATTATTACCCAAATGAATTCCAAATTAGTCAGCGATACATTTCTAAGCGGCCGGGAGCAGAAAACCAAAGCAAAACGATCGCACAACGCGCCATTTGTGTACGGCTTGTGATGTATGTATGTGAAATGAACATATAACTTAAGTGCAACCTAATTTTAATTTATACACCTACGTTAAGGAACCCCACAAAGAAAACAAAACTGAACTACATGAAGTGTTGATTGTAATAAACTAGCAAAGTGCACATCAAATACAAGCATGTTTGTTTCGATGTGCACTTCCACAAAAACCAGAAATGCAAACATGTTTTCAATTATTCCATGCCATCGAGTGTTGCTGCCAATGAAAGTGCAGTGGTTAAATGTGTTTCTAAAGATTACTAGTGGGTTTAAATTGGCATTGTTGCAAGCGAGGGTTTTTATGTATCATTTTTGATTTGTGTACATATGTTGGATTATGTATTTTTTACAAGCTCGGTTCACCTTTAGCCGGATCGATTGTTTGCCCAGCCTTTTAAATGCTGTTTTTGATTGTTCATTTGAAGGGTGAATTTATTACAAACATTACGGGCATTCGGAAGTTAGTAGTATTAGGACTTTCTGGATGTTGAATAGATATATACATAATACATATAACATTACAGGAATTCGGAAGTTAGTAGTATTAGGATTTTCTGGATGTTGAATACATATATATTATACCACTTAGTTCTTAGCTTAAAGTGGATAGAGCTTGTGTGGGAAATAAAACAGCGCAGTTGTCATGCTTTTTTTAAGCAGTTAAAATCGATTTTCCACCGTTCAGGTGGATAGATTTTCGAAAAACTTGTTTTTTTATTTTCTCTACACCAACCGCCACCAGATGTTGCACTTTATACCACCCTTTTTGCTAGTTCTTATCACCCAACCGGCGATATCCACGGATTACTGCGACAAGGATCTGTGCCAACCGGAAATAACGCATATCGGTTGTCACAATTACGGGGTGAGTGGGTGGATATCATATCAAACTACTTTGATAGTAATTTTATAGATTTTTTTTAGGACTTTGACGAGACCTGTGGCAATGGAGCGATCATGTTGAAGTTCCCCATGCACCTGCGTGCCCATCTATTGGCCGTTCTTAATGATTTCCGTAATACACTGGCTCTGGGTCAGTACCCGGGCTTTCGTCCCGCTGCTCGAATGGCCACTCTCCGGTGGCACGAGGAACTGGCCGGATTGGCCAAGTTCGCCTTGCGACGTTGTGAGAATATGGACGAGTACTGCAGCAACACGGATGAGTTTAGATACGTGTCCTATATCTACGGTAGTACCAAGTGGCTGCACCAGGAGAAGACCCCCAAATCGGTTATGGAATTTGTGTTGCAGTTCTGGATGGATGACATAAAGTCCTGCACAATGGCGCACATTAACACGGAGAAAGCTCCCAAGGATAGGTGAGCAGGATCCGAGTTCCAAGTGGCAGATGGTTATCGGAACTTTGATTGCAGGCACTGTCGTGGCTACTTCACCCAACTGGTCCAGGATCTGGCCGCCCACATCGGTTGTGCCATGATGATGCGAAGGAGTATGGCAAGCGGACTCTATCAGTACGGCGTCCTTTGCCAGTTCTCCCGCGGGAAGATCGCCAATGAGCTGGTCTACCGCGAAAGCTCGAATCCGGGAAGTCGCTGCTATGCGGGAACCCACTCCGTTTATCAAGGGCTCTGTTCGCCCGATGAGCATGTCAATCCCAATGCCCTGCAATTAGGCGAGCTTAATTGAATTGGTCATGCGGAGTGTAATAAACTTAGGTTTTAAGCTAGATTTACTCGTAAATTAAAGTGTTACTGCCACGCTGACTGGTCGACATGCAGTTGTGGTATCTGTGCCTGTTTTTAATAGCGCCCGTTGCTTCCCTAAAAGGTACTCAGAATAGTACCCTCTGTAGGCCCGATCTCTGCGCGGAAAATGAGGTCCATGTGGGCTGCATTCCACCCAAGGTAGGAGGGGAAAATCTTTAAAAGGGAGACTTTAAAACGTCTTTTCATAGTCACCAGCCAAATCGTGCGGCCAGAACAACCTCTTCTTGCGTGTGAACGGAGCCTTGAAGTTGGGAATTCTTCACAGGATCAACATGTTGCGTAACTTTATCGCCAGTGGAGCGGGCAACCTTTCGGTGGCCGCTCGCATGCCGACGATGGCCTGGGATTACCACCTGCAGCGGTTGGCCGATCGCCAGGTGCGTCAGTGCAACGAGGTGGGAAAGTTCTGTGCCAACACGGCGGACTATCACTATGTGACAACCACCACAATTCGAGGCACAATGGGACGGAGGAGCAGCTTGGAACATCAGATCTTGGATAGAATGCTGCCGGAGATGTTCTTGGATGTGTTGGGCTGTAAAATGGACGAAAACAAGAGAATTTTGCCCATCAGAGAAGGGTGAGTAATGAAAACGAAACAGAGAAAAATCTTTGAAGAAATGAGGTTTCTTGAATATTGTTTTTAATGATAAATTCCATTCCTTTCAGCACCTGCGTGGGCCACTATATACCCCTGATCCAGGACCATGGCGACATGATGGGCTGTGGCCTGCGCTTGAAGACCAGGACAAAGAAAAAGTCGAATGTGATCCTGGTCTGCCACTTTTCGCGGGCCAGTGTGAACCATCTTCCGCCCTACGAGGAGGGTAAGCTTCCGGGAGAGAAATGCTTCACGGGTTCGAGCCAACTGTTTAAGTATCTGTGTCACGAGGATGAGGAGGTGGATGCCAACAGCCTGAAGGTGGACACCAAGATGCCGCTCACCTCCATAATGCAAAATGTCACAAGTCACACTTGATCTATGAATGAATTTTGTATATGCAGAAGCTACTTATATAGGTCAATAAAATAAAATAAAGATACGCTTCTCTGTCCGTTTATCATATCGAACACTATCCTCTTGTACCTATTATATTAAACGAATAGTTCAGTATTCTTTTATCGGATTAATATAATCTATTATAATCTTATCTTGCTATCTGGACGGAAATTCTACATAATATTTTATGTAAAATATCATTATTCCATTTGATACGAATTATTTTTCTGTGTAGGAAAGTGTGTCGAATTGTGGGCCCAACCAATCGCTAAATTGAGTGGGGGGTCAGCAAATGGGTGCGGTTGATAGCTTCGCTTGGCCGCAAATCGATTTGGCGGCTTCGAACTCTATAAGAGGCAGCCTCGGGTGGCCGGAGCTGGCTAAACTGGCTGCCTCGTCGAGATGTTGGACACCGTGTGGCCGCCGCTGTTGCAGCTGCTAATGCTGCTGATGCTCCTGGGCCAGCAGCTTCACGCCTTCGACTACTGCGATCCGACCTTGTGTCCCGGACCCGAGAAGCATATAGCCTGCAACAATTTCGGGGTAAGATCTAGGATCTGAATGGACCGCTCATGGCTGATCTGTGATCCTTTCAGGAGCTGGGCGACACCTGCGGTCCGGATGCCCATGTGGTGCGGATCACGACGGCCCGTCGCACCATGATCCTCAACGAGCTGAACGAGTACCGCGATCGGATTGCCAGGGGCGACCTGATGGGCTTCAGTCCGGCCACCCGAATGGCCACTTTGCAGTGGGATCAGGAGCTGGCCAGTTTCGCCGAGCTCAATGTGAAGCGGTGTGCCCTGGTCAACGACCATTGCCGGAATAGCGAGCAGTTCCGGAACGTGGCCCAGGTGGTGGCCGAGGGCGGTTGGCAGGGAGATCCCCTGCCCCCCAGCTATCCCCAAAATGGTGGCCGGAGTCCGGAACCCCCAATCCCCGTGGAGTACCACACCGAGGACGAGGTGATCAAGGCCACGCTGGAGCAGATGTTCGCCGAGTACAAGGAGTGCAGCATGCGGGACATCATAGCCTTTAGTCCGCCCAGCAACAGGTAGGTTCTATCCATTCCTCCCCCCTTTGAGTACCGCTCACCTGACCAGAATCCTTCGCTTGCGCGTCAGCAAGTGCATAGCCTACTTCACCCAGCTCGTCCGGGACAGCACAACCCATGTGGGCTGCGGCATCCTCCGGCAGACCAGGAACACCACCAACGAGGCCGGCCAGTGGCTGCCCAGCGTCCACCAGTACATGACCTGCAACTTTGTCCGGGCGGACGATGTGAACGCCCCCGTCTACCAGAGCGGCGATCGCCCGGCCACCGAGTGCCGCAGCGGACGCAATCCGGTCTTCATCAACCTGTGCTCCGTCAACGAGATCTACGACTCCTCCAACCTGCCGGGGCTCTTCTGAGCCGGCAAATCCTGCAATTCCAAAGTCAATTACTACTACTAATTTTAATAAAACGGAAAGGATTCAAGTTAAGCGGTTGTTATCAATGGTGGGCGGTGACTTTTTAAAAAATGTATTTGTGGTTTATCTTTCGCGGAAAATAAATATTTATACGTTGTCCAATTATTTATGTTAAACAATTTGCAAAAAAAAATATTGTAAAGCTAATAAAAATTATTAAAATGAAATTATTACTTTTTTAGTTTGGCAAATTTTCTTAAACAAATTTTTAAATGAAAAATGTGGAATAAAATGCATTACTAAAATTAAGTAAATTACAAAAAAAATTATGTTGAAAGGCTTAATTTCGGATAAAAAAGATTGACACAATTAAACTGTTTAAAAAATATGATAATTCAGGCTAGCTTTTAGCTTTGGTAGACAAATAATATTATTCATATTGTGGCTGACCAACAAAACAAAAAACACTTGCCAATTAGAATACCCCTTAAAAAAGCTATCATTGTCCTTCTACATTTTTTCAAAGTAGCTCCACTTGGCGGCGAAATATGGGTATTATTCTATTAGTGCTTCCGTTTCTCATGTCCTGCGTCTTCCTATTCAAACTATTTTCCCGACAACAGAGACTCAAAGTTAAGCCACTAGAATCGCACTTTAATTCCATCACCATTATTATAATGAACCCGATTCGCTCGACGCCACTCACCTGCAACGTGGCAGTCGAATTGAAATGTGCTTTCCCCGCTCCTTTTTGGCACCTGCCCGCCGGGCTTGCATCCTGCATCCTGCAGAATCGCTGTTTTCGCACCTAGGCGACTGCCAGTCAAAGTCAGCGGACGCAAAAAAGTTCGTTGACAACTTCAGCAAACAAATTTTTTTATCGCGCACTTGCCACACCGCTTCGTTTTATTTTTTTCTATTTGATTTCAGTTTTCTTTTTTTTTTTTAATTTTCTCTCTTGTAGCGGAAGTGAAAAAATGGCAAACGCAGCGTGAAATACACAGCCACCGCAAATGGTACGTCGAAAAAACGAAACAAACTCATATATTTCTAGCTAAAAACGAAAACTTGTTTTCCTTTTATTTTTATTTAATGATTTATTCAATTGTGAAATGTGCTCGATTGTGTTCAGAGTTAACAGTGAAAGAGAACCGTGCGAGTTTCCGCATATGTCGCGATTAAGCTATTTAATAAAATATTTCAATATGATCCTTGTTCGCTCATCCATACACTCGCTTGAGGACCGTAAAAAACGTATAGGTGGTGTTGAGTAGATTCTGAAAAAGCTCCAAGGTAATGGGACGGATATTGCCCAGAAGAATCTGGAAATTAAATTATTAATCGAGTTAATCGGTTAACACATTTTTAGAACACCAAATATTTTTAAAAGAAATGATTTAGAAATTTGTATGTTTAAATAAGTGTATACTTTTTATCTTGGCCAATTGAAATGTTAATATAAGCGAATCACTTTAGCTTTATAAGGATATGGCTTATTCCACGTGAAACGTGACAGGCCAATTTGGGTCAAATCTCAGAATCAATCGAAACTTTTTTTTTCGATAGAGGATTGAAATATAAGGATCGGTTTTTATTTTTTTTTTTTTAACTCTTACCGTTTATTTTAAAAAAATAATTTTCTAATTAAGCTCCGATTTTTCAGTTATGCATCACTTGAGACTCGTTTGAGTTATTTCAATATTTGGTATGCAACTTTGAGGGATATGTTCATGTCTTTCAGAAAAATAATTTTAAAAATTTTTAATTTTAAAATTAAGTATTTTTTAAGAGAATTTAAATTTAAAAAATTCTGTACGCCGGAATACACGCGGTTTCCGAATAAAAAAATTATCCTCATATTGCTTCATCAATTCTTCACGAAGTGGTAAAATAAAATTTTTGTATTTGCAAGACCTACTAGTAAAGACAACGATTTTAGTTTAGCAACTTTGCATCATGCAACAACAGCGCAACGTGTAAGAAAGGGAAAGCACTATTGCTGCTCTCCCGTGTTCGTATTGCTGTTCTCTTCTTACACGTTGCGCTGTTGTTGCTCGATGCAAAGTTGCCAAACTAAAATCGTTGTCTTTACTAGTAGGTCTTGCAAATACAAAAATTTTATTTTACCACTTCGTGAAGAATTGATGAAGCAATATGAGGATAATTTTTTATTCGGAAACCGCGTGTATTCCGGCGTACAGAATTTTTAAAATTTAAATTCTTATAAAAATTAATTAATATTAAAATTAAAAATTTTTAAAATTATTTTCTGAAAGACATGAACATGTCTCACAAAGTTGCATACCAAATATTGAAATAACTCAAACGAGTCTCAAGTGATGCATAACTGAAAAATCGCAGCTAATTAGAAAATTATTTTTTAAAAATAAACGGTAAGTGTTAAAAAAAAATAAAAACCGATCCTTATATTTCAATCCTCTATCGAAAAAAAAAGTTTCGATTGATTCTGAGATTTGACCCAAATTGGCCTGTCACGTTTCACGTGGAATGAGCCATATGCGACTTACTGCAGCTGGTCGCTGGGCCCTCATCATCATAAAGAGGATGTTCTTGCGCAGGGCAACATCGAAGGTGTACCACTCCGTTGCATAGGCTGCGGTCGCCACCTCCAGATTCTGTTCCTTCAGCTCATTTGCATACCAGTAGATGGCCAGTATTTGGGCCAGAATCATGTTTATGTACATGCAAACAATTATCAACTGACTTGTGCCGCTGACCTATAGAGATTGGAAGTACATAATGCAACCTCTATTGATATATACTACTTACAATGAGCATCATAAAGAGAAGGGCACACAATAGGGCCGAAAAAGCCATAAGTTCGAAGAGGAACATCATTGTGGTCAGCTCATTGATACGATCTATGTACTCGATGATGCTCTGCTGATATTGAATGCAGCCTATTATCTCCTCCTTCAATTGTCTGGCATCGCGGTCTCCGTACGGATGCACTATGGCCACCTGGTGAAGGCGATGCTGCAGAGCCTTGCACCGCACAATTCCGAACATAATCAGACCCACAATCAAACTTGTATATGGTATGTACATGCAGCAGCCCATCGGCGTGATGAGCATCTGAAAGACGTACCACATCTCGTAGTACGGAGACTCATACTCATTAAGGCCTGGAATCCTGCTACCAAAGGGAAGGACTGTGGACAAAATACGCATATAATAAATAAGATTAATATTTTTAAAGAAATATTTAAGATTGATAAAAAATTTAAAAAAAATACAGAATGGTTTAAAAAACTAGAAGTGTTACTTAAACCTTATACAAATTAACAACTGCCTTACCTCTTTCGTTAGACGATAAGGGATAAAGGCCAAACCCCATGGATGTAAGCATGCCAAAGAACAAATTGCCCCTGGCCATCAAGTGACCAATCCGGTTTAGATTGACCAAAATTTTCGATATGTACGGATCGTTCTGGTTCAAAAGATCATAGTAAGCGGTGGTAAAGTTCTGGATTAAGGCCACATATTTGTCGTGATCTGCTAGCAAGAGATATGCGCGCAGCAGCGTATTGATCCAAAGGACGAGCATGTAGGAGTTTCGAATTATCCCTGTTAACCCTTCATTAGTACTTATCATGTAGACCACTTGGGTGAAGATGTGGAATGAGGCCAGACCGATGCATACGTATCGCCGTATATTTTTGTCATACAGAAGGGCCCAGAAGCGAAGTATCTTGATGTTCATGTAGATCAACTGAATATCCTCGAACATGGCTTATAACTTGGGCAAGGTTTCTTAGTTAACTCTGAGCTGTCTTTCTTGTCTGAGCCTTTTATAGAATTTTTATGGCCAAAAGGTATTGGTTTTTTATACTCTCGAAGGTGTATATTAGTTCATTTAAGTGATTGGAAACATAATTTTCCCAAGTAAATTGTTTATTTGCTTAAATATTTATTTTTCAACTTTTGGTTTGGATAACCATAATATTTTTTATGATATCATATTAAACTAAATTGATTTAGTTAGTATGCTTCTAAAACTAAGACTGTAAAACATCAAAGACACGCCTTATTATTTGGAACTTATATATTTTTTGAAGATATGTATTACTTTTAAGAGTATCAAAGTATCAAAGAGTACCAAATCAACATTTATTTCTTTTACATCATTTTTGACGAAGGACACGTCTTGCATTGACTCCCAGCTGGTCTCATTTAGGTGCAATTTCTGCCTAAATTGCCGATGATTTTGCAATATTTTTGCCATTGAATTGTAGAATTTATTTGCTGCATTTCATTGGCCACATATTGATTTCCTTTTGAATTATGGACGCAGGAAGAAGGGGGAAACTGGATGCCATTTATCCAGCTAGTAGCACTTCAATTTATTTTTCATTAAATAAATTTGGGAGCCTTTTCCGATTGGCAATTTATCTAATGTGTTTTGCAGATAATTCGGCTGCACTATAGTTAGTAATTAGCGATAGTGTAATTAGCATATAAGCCAAATTGTATTTACAGATAGATAGTGCTTATCGATTTGAGTTAGTAAAAAATACATTAAAAGTGATCGTTTGATAACCATATAGAGACAGCTTTAATGAAAAGCTTTCCATAGCTTTTTTGGGAGGGCAACACTCTCTATGAAATCAGTTGTTTTCCAGCTGTCGACTTTTGCGGTTCAATTAAGCGTATATATATGACATCATGGATCAGTGGATAATAGTGCTCGCCTTGTTTTCTGTACTTCTCGTTTTGCTCTACAAGTGGTCGGTGGCTAAATACGATGTATTAAGTGAAAGGGGCGTGGCACACGAAAAGCCTTGGCCTTTAATTGGTAATATACCTATCATGGGCATGTTTGGTCGCATACCCGTTCTAAAACAGATGATCGAAATGAACTTGAAGTATTCGGGTTCGCCGGTATACGGCATGTACGTCTTGAGGGATTCCATGTTCTTTATCAGAGACCCCGAGCTCATCAAGCTGATTGGCATCAAGGAATTCGACCACTTTGTAAATCACCATGGCATGCACAACAATATGCAGGAGTCGATACTGTCAAAGAGCCTTATTTCCTTGCGCGATGGTCGATGGAGGGAGATGCGAAACATCTTGACACCCGCCTTTACGGGTAGCAAAATGCGCATAATGTACAACCTGATCCAATCCTGCAGCGAGGAGGGTGTCCTCCATATCCGAGAGCTTTTGGAGCTGTCGAAGGAGGCGACCATCGACCTGGAAATGAAGGATTACTTTACGCGATTCGCCAACGATGTGATAGCCACCGTGGCCTTTGGCCTCAGCATCAACTCGTTCAGGCGCAAAGATAACGAGTTCTTTCGAATCGGACAGTCCCTGTCCAAGATTAGCGCCTGGTCGGTGGTCAAGGCCATGCTCCACGCCCTCTTTCCACGGCTTATGAAGGTAACTATTGTCCAGATGTCACAGGAATTGCCATGCCGATTCCTTATTGATTTTCTGATACACTAACATAAAATATCTCACTTTAGATGGGAGTTCATATTGTTTGTTTCGTTTTTATCATAAAAATTTTTATCACAAAAATTGTAAAGTCTTTAAACTTATTTACTGAATTATAATAAAGATAACATTAAAGTTAGTCGAGAAATATATGTGACACAAGCATTTATTTGGAACTGATTGAGAACGCTTGCGCATTTCTTAGCCAAAACATATAATCGTTGTAGGTTCCTAAAAATGTTATAGTACGAACATTAATTTAAAAATAGAAATAGCTGTAAAGCTCATACCCCTCCTCTTGTCTCCCACAGCTTCTTCGCATCCAGGTGCTGGACAACGAGAAAATTGATTACTTCAGCCGTCTGGTCAATGTGACGATGAAGTATCGGCAGGAGCACAAAGTGATTAGACCCGATATGATCCACCTGCTTATGGAGGCCAAACAGCAGAGGCTCAGCGATTTGAGGGATCAGTCGAAGGACGCCCAGTACTATTCGGAGTTCACCGATGAGGACCTGTTGGCCCAGTGCCTGCTGTTCTTCTTCGCCGGCTTCGAGATTATCTCCTCATCCCTGTGTTTCCTCACCCACGAGCTCTGCCTGAACTCCGAGGTGCAGGACAAGTTATATGAGGAGATCCTTTCCGTACACCAAGAGCTAAATGGCCAGCCCTTGACCTACGACAAACTACACTCATAAAAATATTTTTCTACATTTTAGAAAATCGCCCTAAAAAATTTTTCGCCTTTGAACTGAGAAAAATTTTCTATTTTCACGACAAATTTGCCATAAATTTAAGGCAGGGGACCATAAAAAAATATTTTTAGGGTTAATTTTTTATTTTTCTAATATTTAGGGCGGTTTTTTTCGATTTGCTTCGTTTTGACCTTTTCTAAATCCAACGGCGAATTGCCTAATTTTTTTCTAAAATTTTTCTAAATACAAGGGCGATTTGCCTTAAAAATCACTCCAAAAGTGTGAAATTCGGTAGCCCAGCGGTCTAATCACTTGCGCTTTCAACTTTGCTATATGAGGACTAAGGTTGTGGGTTCGAACCCTGTGTGATTCAACTTGATTTTTATGTTTTTTTTTTTTTGTAAACATTATAATACTGAGGACATTTTTTCGTCCGAATTTTAAATTAAAGTAGTCTTTAAACCTTAAAAACGTATGGGAGTTCTGAGTTAAAAGCATACTTTATACGGTTTAGTTGCCTTTAGTCATATTATAACGTAGACCTCAAGAAAATAAGATATGTGCAGAGTTTGTTCGTCGTCTTGCGCGATGGGTCTGTGGTGCAGCGTTAGGACGTTAGACTCTAAACCGAGAGGTCGTGGGTTCGATTGTCGCAATGACCAAAAAAAGTAAGTAGTTTTTTCTCCTCATATTTATTTCCTAATTCGTTTACAAACATGATTTTTCAGTTCTAACGGCTGTTCTGTATAGATCGGGCCCCCTCTTAGCGCAGCTCCCATATAAGCTACACACCAATACAACAATATGAAACAGTGTCCTCCGCCGGTTTTGTGTAATTAAAGCAGTCCCAGTTCCCAGAATATACACGATTAAAAAATACATGCTTCCCAAATTCAGTTAAGCATGCTCAAACTCGAATTTTTTTAATTTGTCTAATTTTTAGGGCATTTGCCTTTAAAAACAGAAAATTCGCCCTTAATTTTAGAAAAATACACCTTAAAATTAGGGCAAATCACCCTAAAAAAGGAAAATATTTCTTATTTCAAGAAAATCACCCTAAATTAAACCAAATTTCCATCGGGATTTTTTAGAAAATTTTTCTAAATACACGGGCGAATCGCCAGCGGATACGATTTATGGGCGATTTTCTAAATCCACGGGCGAAAAGTCAGTTTTTAGGGCGATTTAGGGTAAAAATTTCTATGAGTGTAATAAAGATGCAGTACTTGGACATGGTGGTTATGGAAGGTCTGCGCAAATGGCCACCAGCCATTTCCACAGACCGTGAATGCTGCAAGGATATTGATTTGTGCGGTGAAAGTGGACAGAAGATGTTCTCCGCTCGCAAGGGTGATGTTATTCAAATACCCATATTTTCGCTGCACCACGATCCCGAAAACTACGAGGATCCGGAGTCCTTCGATCCGGAACGTTTTGCAGAGGATCGGAAGGATGAGTCCCGTCTTTTTCTGCCCTTTGGAGTGGGTCCTCGCAACTGCATTGGCAATCGAATGGCACTCATGGAGATCAAGTCGATTGTCTACCAATTGGTTCTGAACTTCAAACTACTGCCAGCTGAAAATACGACCTTAGACTTGTTGGATGATATAAGGGGTCATGGCTTGAAACCCAGAAATGGCTTTTGGCTAAAGTTTAAGTCACGTCAATAAAGTCTTATGCTTCTTAACCAACTAATCGAGTGCGCTTTTTCAATTAAAACTCGTATGCAGCTCGGAAAATTTTCCATTAATCAACTGAGCCGGAGGATGGATTTATTTAATTAATTTCAGGAGAGTGCACCGCAAATGTCTCAAGTTAATCGAGAGGGAATCGGGAAAAATATGGTGAAGAAGTGCTGGTGACAGGCACTGGCTGGAAAATCTCCCTCGCTGGTTGTCCGGTCCACTTGACGCCGGAAAAACAAAAACTCCGGGAAATCGGGAGCAGCTGAGGGGCCAAAACTTTTTGACATTCTCGTTATTTATGTGCTTTGAGGGTATTTAGACAAAAGTTTTTCGGTCCGCCTAAGCAGTTAATACGATATTGATTTATACGCAAGTCAACAGCTGTGAGATAATAAATATTATGCAGCTCAAATACATATTTGAAATCTTACGACTTGTTGTCCGGGGAGAAACTTTCTGTTTTGATTCCCAGATTTGATTTATAAAGCGGCCAGCGATTAAGCTTTGATCCGGCCAGACTTTTGGCCAAGTTTTATAAGCTCAAAGTTGGTGGCTGGAAAATAGCCGAGGGGAGAAGTGGCCGAGAGACTTTCCCTCTCAAGGGAAACAACAAAAGTTTGCCAGGCGCGAGAAAGTAGAACTTTTTCTTTGCGTTTTGCATTTTTGCCGCACTGGATAATTATTTTTCTTGCCGCTAACGCTTCAGAATTTGTCCTCGATAGAGGAAAAAAATTAATGGGATAACATAAAATTGACTTACTTTTTGTAGTTTAAAGAAATACATTATAAATTTAAAAATAATTTTTAAAGTTATACCTACATACCTACCTTATAAGGCCTTAAAACTATTAAATCACTATTTGAATAAAATAGGTATATAAAATATATTTGTGATAAACGTGAGAGTATTATAAGAAAGCACAAATACTAAAGTTTAAATATCACCAGTTTACAAAAAAAAATCGACCTCTTCCTACTCGAAGGCAATCTTGGTTTTCCGGTAAAGTACATCTCCCTGATTAAGAAATGGGCACTTAAAATTTTTGTTATGGTGTCAATTTTTTTTAAAGTGTAAAAAACGTTTTTGGGCCTTTTTTATTTTCTATCTTGAGTTCTGGAAAACCGATTGAGGTCATAGATAACTCAGTTTACAGGTAATATAATGCCCTTTAACTTTCCTATGCACAGCATTGAGTTCCAGTCATTAGTTTAGAAGCTGCACCTTGTCAAAGTTAAAAAAGTTGAAAAAATGCAAAAAATACACACAAAAAATACAAAAAAAAAAAAAAAAATAAAAACCGAAATTAGTTTTACAAAAAACTAATTTTAAGTGCCCATTTCTTAATCAGGGAGATGTACTTTACCGGAAAACCAAGATTGCCTTCCAGTAGGAAGAGGTCGATTTTTTTTTGTAAACTGGTGTATTTAATACCAGTTAAGAATAGATCCATTTTATTATTTTTATTAAATTAAACAGAAAATTTAATACATATTCAAAGATTAAAAAGCAGGAGTTCGCACACAATTGGCTCTACTTCATAACATACAAGTAAAGTTTTGCTCTCTTTCTTTGTATAAAATGACAAGATTTTCCTTCTCCGAGTGCCCAGTAAATTTAGCAGAATCTTGCAATTTGTTAGCTTACATGGGCCTGGGAAAAGTGGGCTTGACCATAAGCCGCCCCATTTGCATAATTATTCATTGCGCAGCATTATGGGCATAAATAAAACGATGCTCCAGTGCACCCAAACACACGAAGAAACATGTGAGGATAATGCCTTGTGGGGCATTATAAACTCTTGTAAGCGCCTCAGCGTATGCAGCGCTTTTTGTTTCTTATTTATTGTTGAGCATTTTTTATTGCCATGCCGCAAGTTGCTCCGACTATTTATGGCCCACATTACACACTGATGCACTTGCAATCCGCCTGCAGCTTACTTCAACGGAATACCAATTGAAATAATAATGGAATGGTAGATCCAATTGCAGGAATAGAATGAGCCACATAAAGATTAATATCGAATAAAGTCGAGCAAACCACTTCACATAAAATGCGGGATGGCCACAAAAGCTAGCTGCTGGAAATGAAACTCCAAAGTTCGACAAAGCTCCAACTATTCTCATAAAACTGACATGTCGGAATCTCTGTGTTCGCGCGGATGTTTTGAGATTGTGTGCCTGGGACCACCTTAACACCGAAATACTCAATTAAATAAAGTTCATCTCGAAATTGCATTACATTTATGAACGTGAGTGCGTGGCATCCTGGCAGCAATGTCATTGCATTTCTCGCAAAAGCCGCATGCTGCGTAAAGTTTTTCCACAAAAATGTGCGTATATAGAATTGCATGTGAGGTAGTCAGATTCAAGAGCGGCAGTAATAAAGTTTACGTAGAAAAATAAAATGATTTATACTTCGGTTTCCTTAATCCTGTGCATATTATTAAAGGTTTAGTTTTAAGAAATATTCTTTGTCATTGTAAACGTATTGGCTCATAAGAACTAATAACTATAGCTAACATAACTAGACCTTTTTAGACACTTAACTCTACGTAATAGATGTAGGAAAAATGATTAAATTATTATTATAAAATAATTTATATAATTTTTTCTGTGACTTTTTGAGTTTTTAATTGCCTAAGCAACAGTTTAGATGGGTGTTTATTTGTTATTCTATGAAAAGTAATATTTTAAACGACATTTTCATGAAAGGCCTGAGAGTGATTAATTCTTCTTCGACGATAATTTTATGTGACATCGAATTCCATGAACTGAAATTTAATTAACATCGATGCGGCCTAATTGAAATAATTGCATTTAAGGCTTTAAGCCACTTTGAACTCGTTTTGCGTGGGTTGAGCATGTGGAGCGGTAACTATTGACAACCTGCAGACAAAGCAATTAATTTAATTTGCAAAATTTGGCCTTTGCGTATTCTATGTAAATATATGTATATTTGATATATTTACAGAAACGTTTCACAGTTAATATGAAGCCAATTGTTGGCAGTTTGCGGTTTTGCACAAATGCCGGGCTCTCGTTGGATTATTTTGCCGAGCTGTGGCCTTTGCCACTACTTAGCCAAATTGCCCACCGAGAGTCCTGTTCATGGCAGGCCGCATTAAAATTTCATGCAAATAATTTATGTCCTTTTCGGTGTGGATATGTGCGGGCCGGAAAGATGATCCCCCTACTCGGTTGATTTAAATTGATGCATGACTTTATTAGGGGAATTATAGAATGAATGCTACAAATTGATGGGTTATTACTCATACGACCAGGCGACCATTCATTTCACAGCTTACGTTTAACGGGACTCTTAGACTCTCGACTTGAACCAGAAAACAATCTTGTTTGGGATTAGTTTGAGCTCTCTGGGCCGTTCTGTCGTTTTATTATTTCCCTTATTTTCCAAAAGACCGGCTATAAATACACATACTTACGCACACATCCCGACATCCGGTGCTTCCGTATTCCGGCCTTTTATGACAGCCCAAAGTGCCTACTTATAAAATCAAAATCATAAAAAATAATGTTAATTTCAATATTGTCTCATTAAATGTGTATAAAACTCCAGCCGGTGAGCATGTGTGTGATGAAAGAAATTTCGTGATGGCCGGATGACGGGAGCGGGGAATTTGTTCATTTAACCTGCCTCAACGTGATGGGCCAAGGTACAGTGGGGTAATATGGGCTTAAAAGTGTGCACTTCGGACAAAAATTATCATAATGAGTAGGCAAAAAAACACAATATGATATATTTAAAGGTTTTTTTTGGATATTTAATAATTATTTATTTTATTTTATCAAATTTTGTCAATTCCCTAAAGGTTTTAAAACTAAAACTTTGCCAAATTTAGCTTTTTTATCTTAGTCCATTTTAATTAAATAAATATCATTTGAGACTGTAAAATGAATTACTGATGAAGTAATCTTGTTAAGTATTAAGTTACTTTCAGACCAAAATAAATTTATAAATATTTTTTTTTCGGCGTTCCCTTCTATCGTCCTGACAAATACTCATCATGAAGTTGGGTACTCAAAAAACATTTAGTTCTAAAAATCGATGTTTTAACAGCAGCCCAATTTTTAAACATTTAAAAAAAAAATATAACCCCCCCCCTTTTTAAAATTTTTTTTCCCCTCAAGGGAGTAATAATTTTTTAAAAAAAAATTTAAAAAAAAAAGGGAAAAAATATCCCCCCCCAAAAAAAAAAAAAAAATTTTAAAAAAAAAAAAAAAAAAAAAATTCGCAAAACTCTCAATTTTAAAAATTTCGGGAAAAAAATTTTTTAAAAATTTTTTTTTTTTTTTAAATAAAAATTTTAAAAAAAAAAAAAAAAAAAAAAAAACTTTTTTTTTTTAAACGATCATTATCAAAAAAAAAAAAAAAAAAAAAAAAAAAAAAAAAAAGCCCAATTTTTTTAACATTTAAAAACGAATTACTATATCATATAGTGTGTAAACGTCGAAAAATTAATGTGTATTGTTTTTCGCTATATTATTTTCTCTGGACTTGAAGCTACCTAGAGAAAGGTACTTAATATAATTCCAATTGACCTAGTATCCTTTCTGTCAGGTTTGTCCCACTGTGCTCGATTTTTCTTTTCGCAGAGTGTGGGTGCGTGAAATTTAAATAAAACGTGCGATTGTCGAGCAGCTGTTGCCGCTTCCCCTTCGTGCCGAGGTCCTTTTAGCGGAGAAGTGACGGGGCTTTTGGGTGGGCAAAGGACGAAGGGAAAGGGAAGAGGAAAGAAGGACGACGGACGAATCGAAGGGGCTGACAGTCACGCACGCATACATGTATAAACCTGCGCCGGATGCTGGCACACACTCACACACACAGACAGACACACGCACAGCGGTCGGGAAATGTGACAGGATGTCATTTTGCAACGCATCCGAAACATAAACACACGCTTTTCTTTTGTACTCGCCCCCACATACATACATATGTGAAAATTATGCTGCTAAAAGGCGGCAAATGTTTGCATTAGTCTCGCTTTCTCG